GAAGATCTAAGTGCCCTAGCAGGACAATATGGCACAAGAAGTTCAGAGATATAACTTGGTGCACAACCAGACAATGCCTTAAAAACAAACAGAAGAATTTTAAAATCAACCCTGAATTTAACGGGAAGCCAATGAAGGGATGATAAGACAGGAGAAATGTGATCCCTCTTTTTTGACCCAGTCAAAAGTCTTGCCGCAGCATTTTGAACAGCTTGCAATCGTGAAAATTAAGATTGAGGAAGACCAGAATAAAGAGAGTTACAATAATCCAATCGAGATGTAACAAGTGCATGAATCACAACTTCCATATCCTTCCTTGAAAGAAGATGCTTCAACTTTGCAATAGATCTCAAATGGAAAAAACTTGCTCTAATAACAGCACTAATTTGTTTATCAAAAAATAGAGAGGAGTCAAAAATCACTCCAAGGTTTTTGATTTGTTTGCGTACATTAGTTGAAAGTGGAACTAACTGAGCTTCCAAAGCAGGAGACGAGTGTGCAGGACAACCTAATATTAAAACCTCGGGTTTATCCTCATTTAACTGCAGGAAATTATTAGACATCCATGTCTTAATATCATGTACACATTTCAATAATACGATAATTAGATAAAAGTAGATAAAACTGAGAATCATCCACGTAACAATGATATGAAATACTGTATTTTTGAAAAATGTGGGCCAAGGGAAACATATAAAGGGAAAACAGTAAAGGTCCCAAAATGGATCCCTGGGGTACTCCACACAAGACAGGTGCAGTGGATGAGAAAAAAATTCCTAAATTTACAGAAAAAGTCCTGTTCTCGAGATACGAGGCAAACCACTTTAATGCAGTGCCTCAAATATCTACCACACATTCAAGTCGATCAAGAAGAATGCTATGGTCAATGGTGTCAAATGCCACGCTCAGGTCCAACAATACCAACACAACACAAGCACCTGAATCCAGAGAAAGCAGCATGTCATTTGTAACTCTCAATAGCGCTGACTCAGTACTGTGTAATGATCTAAAACCAGATAAAACTTATCTAAAACACTAAAAGAATCCAAAAAAGACTGAAGTTGTAAAAACACTACTTTCTAAAATGAATATTAAAATCCCCAATGATTAGTAATCTATCAGCCCGAGTCACCAGATCAGACAGAAAATCAGAAAATTGACAGATAAAATCCTTATTCCATTTAGGGGGTCTGTAAACCAAAGCACATAGTACAGGCCCCTTTACATCAACCTTCAATAGCTGGAATTCAAAACTGGAGAAAGTATCAGTGGGCACAGTCTTACATTTAAAACAGCTTCTAAAAATATGAAATACTGTATTTTTGAAAAATGTGGGCCAAGGGAAACATATAAAGGGAAAACAGTAAAGGTCCCAAAATGGATCCCTGGGGTACTCCACACAAGACAGGTGCAGTGGATGAGAAAAAAATTCCTAAATTTACAGAAAAAGTCCTGTTCTCGAGATACGAGGCAAACCACTTTAATGCAGTGCCTCAAATATCTACCACACATTCAAGTCGATCAAGAAGAATGCTATGGTCAATGGTACAACTCCACCACCATGTCCAGAGGCCCATGGAGAACTAAAGAATGCACAGTCTGGAGGAGCAATCTCAACAAGAGGCATCAAGTCACCATGTTTTAACCAAGTCTCAGTAATAAATAAGAAGTCTAATGAATGCGATGTAAATAAGTCATTTAGAATAAAAGATTTATTCGATATTGACCTAGCATTCACTAAGGCCATCTTAGCAGTAGTAGTACAGGCTGACCGCTGAGAGGTGCGTGTTTGAGCAAAGTGATATTTCCAAAATTGATGCTCCGACTCTTACCATTTGATCCGATGGAAGAGTGGCGATATGATGACCAAATGACCAGGATATATTCATTATCCTGCGATGGAGTCACAGACCTCACAAGGAAATCACGGCGAGATCCGTGATGAATGTACCTGGGGCGGCGTATAATTCCCAGTGCGTCACAGCAGTTGTATATTTCGCTTGGAAGACGGTAGAACGAATTTAGTTTCTGTAGATCCAGTGAAGAGTATTTAAGCACCATGCTCTAAAAGCAGTTCACACCGGGAACGAAAAACAGATCCCACTTCGAAGAACAAACAGTAAAACTCCAGCAGACCAGTGCACAGATGATAGCAGCATGTCATTTGTAACTCTCAATAGCGCTGACTCAGTACTGTGTAATGATCTAAAACCAGATAAAACTTATCTAAAACACTAAAAGAATCCAAAAAAGACTGAAGTTGTAAAAACACTACTTTCTCCAAAAGCTTCCTGATATAAGGCAACTTAGAAATTGGCCGATAGTTACAGCACATTGCTGGGTCAAGCTGAGGTTTTTTCAGCAGAGGTTGCACAACTGCATGTTTAAAACTGGCTGGAACAACACCTTTGGCTAAAGAGCTGTTCACTATAGCTGTTACAATAGGACTAATAGTCATGACCTAGCATTGACTAAGGCCATCTTAGCAGTAGTAGTACAGGCTGACCGCCGAGAGCTGAGAGGTGCGTGTTTGAGCAAAGTGATATTTCCAAAATTGATGCTCTGACTCTTACCATTTGATCCGATGGAAGAACGGCGATATGACGACCAAATGACCGGGATATAATCATTATCTTGCGATGGAGTCACAGACCTCGCAAGGAAATCACGGCGTGTAATTCCCAGTTGCGGCACAGCGGTTGTATATTTCGCCGGGAAGACGGTAGAACGAATTTAGTCTCTGTAGATCCAATGAAGAGTATTTAAGCACCATGCTCGGAAGGCATAAGAAAAAAGTCTGAAGCAGAGGTTGCACAACTGCATGTTTAAAACAGGCTGGAACAACACCTATGGCTAAAGAGCTGTTCACTATAGCGGTTACAATAGGACTAATAGTCAGGAAGACATCCTTAAAAAGTCGTGCAGGAATAATATCTTACTTAGAACCAGAACACTTCATAGTAGAGACAATATCATCTAGCTGATGTGATAAAACAGGTTGAAAGGACGACAAACAACTTGTGGTACTAGATGTAAATAAGTCATTTAGAATAAAAGATTTATTCGATATTGACCTAGCATTGACTAAGGCCATCTTAGCAGTAGTAGTACAGGCTGACTGCCGAGAGCTGAGAGGTGCGTGTTTGAGCAAAGTGATATTTCCAAAATTGATGCTCTGACTCTTACCATTTGATCCGATGGAAGAACGGCGATATGACGACCAAATGACCGGGATATAATCATTATCTTGCGATGGAGTCACAGACCTCGCAAGGAAATCACGGCGTGTAATTCCCAGTTGCGGCACAGCGGTTGTATATTTCGCCGGGAAGACGGTAGAACGAATTTAGTCTCTGTAGATCCAATGAAGAGTATTTAAGCACCATGCTCGGAAGGCATAAGAAAAAAGTCTGAAATCTGAGATGTAAACGGAATTCTGAGAAAAAAAGCCAGAATTGCCAAATGTAAACTCAGAACTCTAAGAAATCAAATTTAAATTGTGAGATGTAAACTCAGAATTCTAAGGGAAAAAGTCAGAATTGCGAGATGCTAACTCAGAATAAACTCAGAAAAAAAGTCGGATTTGCAAGATGTAAACTCAGGATTTGAGAAAAAAAATTCAGAAAATTCTAAACGTAGAATTCTGAGAAAACAAGTCAGATTTGCAAGATGTAAACTCAGAAATCGAGAAAAACGTCTGAATTTTGAGATGCAAACTCAGAATTCTGAGAAAAAAAGAACTGCGAGATGTAAATTCAGAATTTCAAGGAAAAAGTCAGAATTGCGAGATGTAAACTCTGAATTCTGAGAAGAAAGTCAGAATTGCGAGATGTAAATTCAAAAGAAAAATGTCAGAATTGCGAGATGCAAACCCCAAATTCTAATAAAAAAAGTCAGAACTGCAAAATGTAGACTAGCAATTCCGAAAACTGCAATTACCTTTTTTTATATTTTTACTCTCTGGCGGAAATAAGCTTCCATAGTTATCATACTGCTGCTGCTGTTAGTGATCTTACCACGGTTAAAGGGATTCTCGCTAAAAACATCACTTACTCGTGGTAAAAATCACACGTGGCCTAGAGTTGCTTATTGCTTCATCAATATTTCATGTTCACAAACCGTATAAATCATCTTGTGTGCAGTCAAAGCATCGACAAACAACTTGTGGTACAAGGCAATTGCAAATGAAGTGATACAGAAGGCGCAATGGAGAATCTGATAGCATCAATTTTTTGAGTAAAATAGTTTAAAAAATCCTCACAAAGTTCCAAGGAGGCCCTCAGATAATAAATTCATTGTTGGGTTTAAAAGAGAATCAATCATATCAAACAAAGCTTTTGGTCTATTCACATTATCAGCAATTAACAGAGAAATAACTAGATTTTGCATGTTTTACTGCTATTTGATAATTAGAGAGACTTAACTTTAAGATATCAAAGGAAACATGCAGCTTACCTTTTTTCCACTTTCGCTCTGCTTTCTGACACTCTTGTCTAAGAGAGCGGGTGGTTTCATTTAACCATTGCTGGCCATTGCGAGATGCTAACTCAGAATAAACTCAGAAAAAAAGTCGGATTTGCAAGATGTAAACTCAGGATTTGAGAAAAAAAATTCAGAAAATTCTAAACGTAGAATTCTGAGAAAACAAGTCAGATTTGCAAGATGTAAACTCAGAAATCGAGAAAAACGTCTGAATTTTGAGATGCAAACTCAGAATTCTGAGAAAAAAAGAACTGCGAGATGTAAATTCAGAATTTCAAGGAAAAAGTCAGAATTGCGAGATGTAAACTCTGAATTCTGAGAAGAAAGTCAGAATTGCGAGATGTAAATTCAAAAGAAAAATGTCAGAATTGCGAGATGCAAACCCCAAATTCTAATAAAAAAAGTCAGAACTGCAAAATGTAGACTAGCAATTCCGAAAACTGCAATTACCTTTTTTTATATTTTTACTCTCTGGCGGAAATAAGCTTCCATAGTTATCATACTGCTGCTGCTGTTAGTGATCTTACCACGGTTAAAGGGATTCTCGCTAAAAACATCACTTACTCGTGGTAAAAATCACACGTGGCCTAGAGTTGCTTATTGCTTCATCAATATTTCATGTTCACAAACCGTATAAATCATCTTGTGTGCAGTCAAAGCATCATGCATTTACCCAAATCTTCACAGCAGCCCAAACAAGCGCGGGCCGCCCACCTACAACGAGCACATTTCCAAGCGCCTGGCCTCGGGTCCCGGGGCCCAGGAGGGGCCGCTGCACCGCGAGCCCAGCACCCCTCACCGCTACCGCGAGGGCCGCACAGAGTTCCGGAGGGACAAATCTCCGGCCCGGCCTCTGGAGCGCGAGAAATCGCCCGGTCGGGCTGTGCTAGACAGCCGCAGGGAGAGATCGCCAGGGCGCTTCGAGAGCAGCGGCAGCGAGAGAGACCGGGAGCGTTCGCGCCTTCACTCTAGCTCTGTACGCACCCAGCTGACCCCCGTCAACAAGGTACGCATGAGACAATGCATTTACCCAAATCTTCACAGCAGCCCAAACAAGCGCGGGCCGCCCACCTACAACGAGCACATTTCCAAGCGCCTGGCCTCGGGTCCCGGGGCCCAGGAGGGGCCGCTGCACCGCGAGCCCAGCACCCCTCACCGCTACCGCGAGGGCCGCACAGAGTTCCGGAGGGACAAATCTCCGGCCCGGCCTCTGGAGCGCGAGAAATCGCCCGGTCGGGCTGTGCTAGACAGCCGCAGGGAGAGATCGCCAGGGCGCTTCGAGAGCAGCGGCAGCGAGAGAGACCGGGAGCGTTCGCGCCTTCACTCTAGCTCTGTACGCACCCAGCTGACCCCCGTCAACAAGGTACGCATGAGACACTGCCACGTAAACTGTGTATCCTCTTAGGGATACAAACATCAGGTTTGACGATGTTCATGCATGCTCAAATGCATGAACATCCGCTGCTTTGTAGTTAAATTCCTTCTAGTTATGGCCTCAAACAGGATGCTCAGCAGCAGTAATGCAGCAGTAATGATGTTTCTGAGCTGATCTGCGTCAGACAGGGCAGGCAGCCAGTTGAAGTGTTGAAGTGACCTCTTTATCCTGGTGGTGGTGTAGGTTTGGGACCAGTCTTCAGTCTGAGAGCGTCCCGGAGGGATTACGTAAGAGCCATCGTCCACCTCCCGCGTGGATGGACTTGCCCTTTTAACAGGCGCTTCGTAAAGCTCTGAACTATATCATCTCATGCCTGTAACCGTGAACAGAGCCATGTTATTCACTCGCAGCCCCAGAGTCTGGGACATTGTGCTGATGTTGTAAACTCTGTCCATGCTGTAACTATTCATGAAGGTCCAATGTAAAGAAAAGCAACTGCGATTTTTTGGGAAAAGACTTTGAAGAATATCCCGGGTTCAGTACGGTAAGCTCTGACAACAGCATTTTGTGGCATAACGGCCATTACTGCAGAAAAATGTTTTTGATTCTCCCCTTATGTAAAAATTGTGGTAACAGTAAGACATTTACAATGGAAGTAAAACAGGAACAGGCACTTTATGAGTTTAAGGCAAGACACTACAAGCAAACCCATTTGTTTTTTTTCAGGCACTGGTAAATTTTGCGATTTTGGGCAATTTTAACTTTCATTTTTCTATCTAGTGAAAAGTTATTTTTATACACTTTATCTATTAGCATCACTAGATTTCAATTATAATACACTGGCCATTTCCTCGAAAGGAGTTTTTTCCACTTCAGCAGCACTTAGAGCAAATTTTACAGTTTCATTCCTATCTAAATTCTGAAGGTTTTTACAGACATTTATAACATTTTATTTCTTAACACTGATATATGTTTTTTCCTTTTCTGATTTATGGAGTGATTTAAAAAAAGGAAAATTCAAAATATTAACGTTCAAAACATTAATTAGTGTCAACAAATTGAAACTAAAATTTCGAACCTGGCATTATCCAATGTTCAGATTTCTGTTCTGGAAATGTATGTTTTGAAGAATGTTTACCAAACATTCTTCAAAAATATTTTTTGTCTTCAACAGAAGAAAGAAACCCATAGAGGTTTGGAGCAACTTGAGGGTGAGTAAATGATGACAGACTTTTCATTTTTGGGTGAACTATCGCTTTAAAAAAAAAAGAAAGAAAAAAGTAATTGCATAATGCTAAAACACACAAATTCTTCATTAAAATATATATATTTTAACTATAAAATGTCTTAATCATCCACTTAGTGGTAGGACTACTTTAGTTTGTGTTGTTTCGTTCATGTAAACGGGCTCATTGTAGTATCCCTGTGTGAAAATGATCAATTCACTGACCTTGACCAGCACTGATGAGGTTAGTAAGCAATTGTATCTCACATTAAAAATGTACTTCCATTGTGTTTTACTGGAACCACCATTTTTGGTTTAGTTGAAATTATGATCTGTGGTAACTGACAACACACCACAAATGCTGTACATTTATACTAAACTCAGAATATTCCTTCAACTTAATCACGTGATTCGCACATTGTAAATTTGGTGATTTAAATTTTTATAGCTAAACGGAACTTGACTGATGAAGCAACGAAGTCTATTTTTTATGCTATTAAACTGATTGTATAGACAATTGAAATGGGTTTCCTACAGAAAAGTACAGAAAAGGTTTTATTTCCATGTATGTTGTATGCTAATGTGGTAAATCGGCTGCTCTTAATGACAGTTTGTCCAGTTTTTTAAGCTCTATTTGACTGACATTATCGAACCTACTGCACATTGTATATTTTTATGCTAATAGAGTCTGAGCTTGTAAATCTTTTTAAAGAGACGCTTCATGTTCTCGCTACAAGTGTCCTTGTGATGTTCAAGTGAACTTGGCGTATTTTTATCGGAAGTAACGAAGCTTTCGTCGACACACTCGCACACAGTGACAGCAGCGGTTCCGCGGGGCTCTTCTGGAAATTTCTGCAGCTTATCCGTTAACGGACGTCCTGTTCAGCTGTGACGTGAAATAATGTCCGGTAGCCCTCAGGGTTTGTGGAAGATCTTCTGTCGTTCCTCGTGGAATATGAAAACAACTCAGAGGCATTTTGAGTTAATGGGTAATTGTACGCAAACGCCTGAGTGATCATATCAAACGCATGAGTAAATTCTGACTTGGTTTTGGGACGTCCCGTCATGTACTACTACCTTAATATTGATAATCGATGTTTTTCAACTAACAAGGCTGCTTACCTTGAACTTGTTTTTTGTATAAAGAAATTAAGCTATATTAAAGTATGAGCCATACTCAGTTCTCCTGGCGTCGAGTCGTTCTTTTGGTCTGTCAGAGTTGGAGCACGTGATCATCACAAACGCGCGCTTTCCGTTCATTACCGATTCATCATCCGAGCCAGATCGTGGGACTTGACAGCGGAGCAGAGCAAACGGTAAGAGCATCCAAAAGGTTTGGAAATGCTAAACATTTTGCCAGATGAGAGACAAACTTAATAATGAAATAAAAACCAGTGTCTGATGTGAAGTCCAACGGGCAACGGAATGATGTCGATGCTGGAGAAGCAGGCCAGGTGGATTCAATCTATAACGTTTTGATTATTTGAAAAAAAAAATAAAAAATTTTTTTTTGATGATTCTAATAATGAGGTTTAGTTTAGAATTTATTTTGTAATCATTTGTAATTTTTCATTTATAAATTTACATGAGAAATTCTTTAGAATTAATATTCTCTTAAAGGTGTTTGTACATGTGCGTAAACAGAAAAATGGGTTTTATCAGCACCAATGCTACAGAATGTCAGGTAAAAAGGATTTATTAGTATGCTTCATGACTGCTGGGACGTTGATGCGCTACATTTGACTGAGAAATTGAATGTTGGTTTAATTTCTCATTTATTTAAAACGAGAACCCCTTTCATAACCCAAACCATTTGCTGTTGTGGTAAGGTAGTAAAGCTCATTCATTTTTATCATGTATGATTGAATTTTTTGTCTCTAAATTACCAAGACATGGCAAATGCCTGCACAAATGAACATAAATTTAATCTAACATGTTCACAATTCAAGATTTTATAAAACTTTGCATGCATTAAATAATTTGAGGATGTTTATCATTGATAATGTTGAAAGCTAAAGTGATTGACTTTTTGTTTACTGTACTAGAGATTTTTGTTCATTCAACTCTAAACTGCTGAAGATAATTGTCATCTCTGGTTCATTATTTGAAATATTGTTTATTGGAAGTTCATGTTAAAGTCTTCAGGTTTTCCTGTCTGCCTATTTTGAGCAAGAAGATTTAATAAATAGCTTTAATGGAGGAAGAGTAATTATGTAATTATCATGTTTCCAGCTTTAAAGTGGTTATTGACAGCGTTTCATAAATCAGGGCTTCCCAAACGAGTTTGTGAGGGAGTTAATGAAAAGCTAATTAAATCAAACAAAATATAATGTTTCAACTAAAAAGCAATACAAATAAATGTTAGCATATAAATAAAATGCAATAGTTAAAAACAATTAACAAAAACTGTATATAAAACTAGTAAAAAGAGATTCAATATTTTTAATGTTTACCCGCAGTGTTAAATTACTGAAAATATAAATAAAAAAGTCTCGGGTATGGTAAGTAAATATTTTAGCTCAAAGGGGTTCAAGATGACAAACAGTTTGATAATTCATGTCACAGATCAGTGAAATGAGTCCAGCATTGACTTCAGTTTGGAATTCCATGTTTTATTCTTACAGAAATCTGCGACAGTGTATTTCTGATGATTACCAATGTGCAAAATTTAAACCCATGGAATTTACTCTTTCTGGAAAACAAAAAAAATTCACATTCATGGATTGGCGTTAATGCAAAAGCTGTCCCACCGCCGACACATTTTTTTTTTTAAACCGGTCAATATTTTCTCACCGTCTTGCCATTTACAGGATATCATTTACCATCACATCCATCAAGCTCCAAAAAAGACAAACACTTGCAGTCACTGTCGTTGTATGGAAAAGAGCTGCATAAAGAGACTCCAAAATCCTCCTTTTGAGAGGAAAAAAACAACATAAGGGTGAGTAAATATTAAATGTGTTATCAGGTGAACTCCTGATTGAGGGAATTGTCTGAATGAACCTCCAAAAAGCAAATAAAATGGGAAGCGAAACAAAAGAGACTTTGATTGTGATTTGTGCGTTGTGTGTGTGTGAGGACGGGGCTTCATCTTCAGTGCAAACGCAGCTCAAACCCATCAATACTGATTATCCTGTGGTCTAGCAATTGTCAGGATTGAACATACGATTCAGACAAAATAAACCTGATAATAAATAAGTGTTGGGAGGGGAAAAAAAAACAAAACAAAAGGGGCCCTACTGCAGCATATCACAAACAATATCTCTCTCCACATACAACATCTCTATTCGTCTGTTCAGCGTCGCTGGGAGAAACATAAGAAATACATTAAAAAGATAAACCCCAAATGGCTACAACTGGGGAAAAACAACACAACTTATATTTGGTGACTAATTTAGTGAGCCACTATTTAAGAATTCTATACAATTTCTCATTTTAAATGCTATATGTCTCATTCTTATATCATTCTAATATATTATCTCATTTATGTTACAAAACAATGCACTAGTGAGAACGTCGGCCAACGTCCACACAGCAGATCAGAAAAACAAGAGCGCCATCTAGCGGCCCGTCACTATACAGTCAACATTAGCCAGAGGGAGAATGCTTTAATCTGAGAAAGAAATTAACAGGAGTCTGGAATAAACGGTGAAACTGGATGCGTCCGAGAGTCGGAATCACCTCAAAAAGAAAACGAAAAGCCCGCAAAAGAGATGAGAACTCAAAAACAAAGCTAGGATCTTGCGGTCTCGTCCCAGCAGCACCTTTCTCAGGAACGCCACTGATAATCTATCTTTGTGAGATGACGAGGGAAGAAATCCTACTTTTGCACACACCGTCCGTTGGAGAAGCGCTTCCCTCTATGCAGCAGGAACAGGACAAATTTCATCGCAAATGAAGACGAGCTCTCATTCGCACCCTGTCTCTTCTGAAAGTGCTAAGCTTCCTCTCCTCATCGTTCCATATATGCATGATTCCCTTTCGGGTGGGAAAGAAGCGTCTTCGGCCCCACACAACAGTCTCTGGAGCGTCTCGGTGCATCTGGGATCAGTTGGAGCTGGCAGTGATGGGTTTGTCCAGCTCGATGCTCAGGGGCGGCGCGGGAGTCTCCAGGCTGCTGAAACACGATTTACACACTCGACTGGGCTCAAACAACTGCTGGCTTGGCACCGGGATCTTCTGATAGCAAAAGCTGCCACAGAACACATTCCCACAATTCCTGCAGGGGGCGGCAGAGGTCAGGACAGGAGAGGAGGAGGAAGTCAGAGAAAGAGTTTAGAAAGGAAAAAAGAAAGAATAGAATTAGTGCCTTTATAAATAACTCTTAGAATTTAAACTAGGGAAGCCTAGAATACATTATATTATAAATTATCATTATAAAAACATTTATTTCCTGAAGAGAGGATCTGAACGGGTTAGAACTGAATGCACTTCATTTCGAAACTGGGGAGAACAAAAACAGTAATAACCCCTATATTAGTGCTGTCAAACGATTAATCGCATCCAATATAAAAGTTTGTGTGTGTACTGTGTATATTTATTATGTATATATTATATCATATATAAATGTATTAAATATATAAACGTAACATATTTTTCTTATATACATGCATGTGTGTGTATTTATATATACATAAATATACACATTTATTAAAACAACAATTCATTTTACTATATTTGTCATATTATTTTCATAATAACAGAATAACAA